GGGGGGGGGGATCAACCTGCGTGTTTCATTTCAGAAATACTTACCCCTTTCCTCTTTAAAAGTTCTTCTGGTTTGTCTGCTTTAGTTTTTCCCTCATAGTTCAGGTTGTGTAAGGTTCTTTAGTACGGCTGGCATTCATGGGTTCTTGTGTGTTTGTGCAGACACTGCAAGAGAGAGTCTGTGAGTTTCAGGCACGTTTGCGCAGTGAAGACTCTGCCAAAAGACTCCTGCTACAGCGACTGCAGACACACGACCACCAGCTCAACCAAGACAACCACCAGAACGAGGAACATTCATCCATTAACCAAGAACCTCAAGAGCAGCCCAGACTGCAGGACAGCCAGCTCAACCAAGCTGTGTCACCTACAGGTGAGATTATTATTATTATTAAATGCATTTTATCTTAATTATAATAGTTTATTTTTCTATACATTTTATTAATTAATTATTTTTGTATATTTCATTAATAATTAATTCATTTGTAATAAATCTATTTATTACTTATCTTGTGTCCTAAATGTTAGAAAAAGCTGCTTGCTTGCCATAAAGCGTGTGTGTGTGTTTGTGTAGGGGTGAGGAGCTCTTGTGTTTTGACACAGAGGCCTGTGGATTTCCCCAGCGCTGTACAAGTGAGTAAAGTTCACTCACTGGAGCAACTGCAAAAAGACGAGGGAGAACAACTCGCTCTCATTACAGGGCTGCGCACACAGGTATGTTATACACACACACACACACACACACACAGAGAATAGGGCTCAGTTTTCCAGCCAGACTCACAAGAGCACCACCAGATCATTTACATTCCTCAGCCACATACTGTATTGTGACCTTTTATGCATTGATATTCATTGTTTCTGTCTGGTTAGATTAAAATAGATCGATACATCATGAGGGTGGATGCATGAAACTAATTTTTGTGAAGGGATTTAGCTGAATGCTGTTGGTTTGTGGTTTTGTAGGTCAGGGAGCTGGAGGAGAAACTAGTGGATCAGACGCAGGAGGTGGAGAGACTGCGCTCTGAGCTGGTGAGAGACTGAATTAATAGGGACGGGGAGAGTTATGTCACACTCTGTGCCATTGTATGAATCACCTGATCCTGGTGGGCTAAAGTCACCACACTTGTGTGAACCACATTTCTATTGTTTAATAAAGAGCTCATGCTCCTGCAGGTTTACGCTGACCTGATTTATTTTTATGATGGGAGGGGATGGAGTGTTAACCTGGTGATCTAGTTTTGTTGATAGCAGAGGAATGTATCTCTTCAGCCCTGGAAGATTTACAACTGTGGCACTGATCCAAATTTGAGATGGGTGTGGGTGTACTTAACTGTACTGGGAACTTTGTTCCCAGAAGAAAGCTAAATATAATAAAACCTCATCCTCTTTTGGAAAAATTATTAACATTTCATTTATTTAATTTATATATTTTCTTTAACAAAATCAGGACATTCAATGCATTACCTAAAAAGAATTGTTAAATTAAGTTCAAAAGTTAAAAAAAAAAAAAAAATTACTTTTATTTACCAAGGACGCATTAAATTGATCAATTGTGACAGTAAAGACATTTATAATGTTACAAAAGATTTAAAATAAGTACTGTTCTTTTGAACTTTTGATTCATCAAATAATCCTGAAAAAATGTATCACGTTTCCACAAATATATTAAGCAGCAAAAACTATTTTCAACATTAATATTAATAAGAAATGTTTCTTGAGCAGCAAATCAGCATATTAGAATGATTTCTGAAGGATCATGTGACTCTGAAGACTGGAGTAATGATGCTGAAAATAAATGACATTTTAAAATAGTCAAATAGAAAACAGTTACTTTAAATTGGAATATTATTTCACTATATTACTGTTTATACTGTATTTTTGATCAAATAAATGCAGCCTTGGTTAGAAGAAGATACTTGAAAATGAAAAATCTTACTGACCAGAGATGTATATGCAGTGCATATATGTATATGTACTGTGAGTGTAATTACTATAATGAACATTTGCTCATATTAACTGATCCAAATATATTCACATATTAATTAACAAAAAAAAAGGGATTTTAAATTATTTCAGTGTTTTTCCCCATTCCAATGGTTTATATTATTGGGTGTGGATAATGATTGGGTTTGAATTTGTCAATAGTAATTATAATTAACTGCATGTAAAACCCTTAGAAGTCCTCATTCAGCTAAATAAACGTATATGTGTGTTTCTAGGGGGCAACAGATCTGGAGAAACAGCTCGAGGTGCTGGAGAGTGAAAACCAGCGGCTCAAACAGGAGCTGAGGGCCAGTCAGACCCAGACCACCTGCTCTACCGGCCACTGCCACCACAGCCAGGTACTCACACAGCAAATAAATCACTTAAACCTCACTTACAATCCGATTGGTTGTTTCTATATTGATAGAATAATTATTTGATGCTTAAATTGTGTGCAATAAATCTTGTGGTGTTTTTTTCTGTTCTGTAATGCTCCATCTCTCTGTCTGCATCGGTCTCAGGATGTGCAGGCCCTGCGTGGAGAGCTGTGTCGTAAGGATGAGGAGTGCCGTGAGCAGGAGCGGCGACTGGCTGCTCTAGAGCAGCAGGTGCAGGAGAGGACGGGTGTGGTAGTTCAGCTGCAGCAGCAGCTGGAAGAGGCGTCACGTCTCAGGAGCCAGAGCGAGGAGCAGCTGACCTCACGGCTTCGTGATGGTGAGGAGGCTCTGTCTCGCCAGGCTGCTCTGCCGCTGCAGGTTAAGGTGAGCTGTGCTAATGAAGCATTAGCTGTGTCTCATTTCAAAGTCTGCGTCCTCCGGAGGTCAAATTAGTCAGTGTAACACAGTTTGCCTCCTTGCGGACGGCGATGGCTCCTCCTGTTGAGGGCAGCCGGCAGCTCCTTCCCCGTTCCCTGCTCCTCCCCAATCATGGCAGACGGCAGCAGGCT